CATTTTTCTGAGTCGCGCAATTTTTGTGGGACAGAGGGAGTAACATATACGAATTTGGATGGTTCATAGTCTTGTGGTCAATCGTGAGCACAATCCACATTTAGCGATGGAGAAGACACCAAGCAAGAAGACAATCGAAGAATTGTTCCACGGTGCCTCCACGCGGCGAACGTATTTGACATACCAGCGACTGTTCAAGGAATTCTGCCTAAAACCGCAAGAATGGCATGGACCATGCCCTTTCGAACGCAGCCGATTGCAAGGACTTTTTCACTCACTGTACTGCCTCGATCGCAAAGCTAGAACGGTTGACACGGCGAAGACTGCGTTGGTTGCCTTCTTCAAGGCGTTTAACGTTGTACCAACTTAGCGCAAGAGGTTGAGTCGACGAAAAATGTAGTTCGTCTTCAAAAGTATTGTCGCCAAAACAATCTCGAAGAGGAGCGCAGAGCCCACCCAATGTCTGTCCACGACCTCTCTCAACTCGTGAACGCGTTCGCAACTATGGACCAGCTCACAGCATGCAAGTTGTGATTTCTGTTTGCCGCGAGTTTTCTCGATTGTTTCCGCGTTGGAGAGGTTCTTGCACATTGTTGGTCTGACCTCTCGTTTGGCGAAATCGACGAAATAACTTTGTCTCAGTTCGTCTCCGCTGGCACAAGAAGGCGAAGGTGGTGCAGGAGTGTCATGTGTATCATCTGCTCAACGATCAAATCCATGTTTGCGTGTTTGCGATTTCTACGAAGAGTATCTAAAGGTGATCAGGACAACCATGTACAATACCTCTCCCAATGGATTTGTGTTTCTTCAGATATCGAAGTCGAACGGGTATTTGAAGGTTGATTGGCATCGCCCAGCAGAACAGATGGGAATAGTTGTATAAATGCAAGTAAAGTAGTTGTTTGACCGTTCATCCCCTCATTTTTTTCAATGTTTCACTACGTACTGAACTGTATAGTACAGTGATCTCGCAACGTTTGCACTCTTGTCCAATATAAACTTTTCCAGGATGACAACGGTACAAGACAACTAAAAAAATTGATTTTTAATTGATTTTTAA